TGGAATAGAATACTGTAGAATATGGAATGAAAATAGGAATAGGAATAGAAAGAATAGAATACTGTAAAATATCGAAAGAAAATAGCAATAGGAATAAGAATTAGAATAGAATAAAGAAAAGAAGAGAAGAGAACCTGTAGAATATGGAAAGAAAATAGGCATTGGCATAGAATAGAATAGAGTTAATACAGTCTTATTAATATCCCTCTATCATGTAGAAGCTAAAAACTCCCCTTGTGTTTGCCCCAACATGATTGCAAAGATACCTATTTGCACGTAAGAAAAATTCTTTCCAGAACCTTTTTCAACCACCTTTCTTTGAAAGACAATTTAACCTTAAAAACTAACCTTAACAATTAATTAAAGGATAAATGTTCTCATTATACGGGAACGGCAGGCATAATTGATGCGCTTAGTCACTCGTGGTTTGGCTTCCTTGCACAGACCCAAATCACCAACAAAATTATACCATGCATAATTCAACCTTGAAAAGAGAGGCAGGGGTTGAGGTCGCTATCAAAGGTATTTTGGTAGTGAAAGTTTGCTCATTTAAAAAAAAAAACTCTTACTAAAGACATCAAGCATGCAGAACGGGGTTTTGATGCAATTGATGAAATTTAAAAGAGAGAGAGAGAGAGAGATATTTTTAATTATTGCTGATTTAACCCTTTGGGAGGAAAAGGCAAAAAAGAAGAATAAAGAGGGAGCTGGAGTCACAATTCGATGAGTCTGCTTATCCACAAATAGCTTCAGGAGCAGACAAGGTGAGTTCCCTTCTGCTTTCAGACCTCCAAGAGCAAAGAATTCCTTCCCACCCAATTAAGCAATAAACAGGACAGCTGTCGAATTGCAACAGTTCGTTTAGGGACCGTCCAAAGTTAAGACAGCACTGGAAAAAAAAAGAGGGACTTGGGACCGTATATCCAGAGTTACGACCTTGGATGCATCCCCGTGCTCACATGATCCACTCACTGAGAAATTCACAGAAATTTTGGGCTCAATGGTAGTCATAACTCGAGGACTACTTGTCAGTGTGGAAAAGGGGTTCTTTTAACAATATATATGTATTTATCTCTCACATATTTCCTACCAACCACCCAGTCTACCGGATGACAGCTAGTGGTAGTATGTTGATACTACCCTCCTGTTCAATTTCCCCTCATCCTTTTTCAGTTGGGTCCTTCTCCATCTTAAACCCTCCAGCCCAGCATTTCTCAGCCTTGGCAATGTTTAGACGGGTGGACTAAAACTCCCAGAACTCCTTGTTGGCTGGGGAATTCTAGGAGTTAGAATAGAATTTGAATAGAATAATAGAATAGAATTTGAATAGAATAGAATAATTAATAGATTGAAGAATAGAATAGAATTTGAATAGAATAGAAT